TCTTTAGAGACCAGCCCTCTATACGCCAGCCTGTGACTCCCTTCTATTCTTCTCCTGTCTTCAATTATTAACAATGGAAATATTTTTTGTCCGTGAGTGTGAGGTGAAATCAATGTTTATTGACATTTACCGATAAAAAATTAAATCCTGCCAAGCCTAATCATAAATGAGCAGTTAATTCTTGGAATGAAATGCGTTTCTCCCTTTGCATATCATTTTAAGAAAAAGAGAATACAGAGGATTCACTATTGCAAATGTATTAGGGTGTGTGGGTGTAGGTGTGTTGCTGTTCCGGTGTCAAACAAGAATACAGAGCATATAGGAAGAGAATATTATGTGGATGCCATACAGACATCCTAGAAAATTTAAGAGTTAGCAGTCGACATGGATTGCATTTCCTAGTAATCTCTGTGTTGTAATCAGTATGGTGTTGCTTATGAGTATTGTATTTACTGGATTTCAAGACCACTTCAACTGTAATTTTCCATATATAGAATCTAATTAGTGGAAGGTCATCTTAAATTCACCCTCCCACTGCTGTAGCAGGGAAAGCACCAGTGGGGGGTGAGGGGGCCCAACTGTTACCCCTTGCCCTTTTTGCCTGCCCCCCCACGCATTGTACTCTGCTGCCTGCCCTGTGCTCTCCAGTGCCTGTGCCTGTCCTGTTACTACCTGTCCTCGCTGCCACCTGTCCTCTTGGTGTCTGTGCTTGCCCCCTTGCCACGTGCCCCTTGCCCGCCCTGTTTTTCCCCTGCTGCTGTCTCCCCTGCCCCCGTGCTTGTGTCTGTCCTCTACTTTCTGCCTTCCACCCCTTCTTCCCCCTGCAGCTTGCCCCACTATGCCTGTGCCCGCTTCCCTATAGAATCCTAAAATAGTAGAAAATTATGGTTGGAAGGGACCACAGGAAGTCATCTAGTCCAGCCCCCTGTTCAAAGCGGGACCATCCCCAACTAGATCATTTCCACCAAGGCTTTGTCAAGCCGGGCCTTAAAACCCTCCAAGAATGGAGATTCCACAACCTCTCTAGGTAATCTGCTTCAATGCTTTACTACCCTCCTAGTGAAACAGTTTTTTCCATAATATCCAACCTAAACCTCCCTTGCTGCAAGTTGAGACCATTGTTCCTTATTCTGTCACCACTGAGAAAAGTCAAGGTCCATCTTCTTTGGAATTACCCTTCAGGTAGTTCAAGCCTACTATCAAATCCTCTGTCTTCTCTTCTCCAATCTTTTCCAGCCCAGTTCCCTCAGTCTGTCGTCATAAGTCATGTGCCTCAGCCCCTGAATCATTTTCATTGCTCTCCACTGGACTGTCTCCAACTTGTCTGCATCCTTTCTGTAGTGGAGGGGTCCAAAGCTGGACATGGTATTCCAGATGTGGTCTTGCCAGCACAGAATAGAGCAGAACAATTACTTCCCTAGATCTGCTAGCAATGCTCCTAATAATGCAGCCTAGTATGCTGTTAGCCTTCTTGGCAACAAGGGCACATTGCTGACATATCCATCTTAGTGTCCACTGTAACCCCCAGGTCCTTTTCCAGAGAGCTGCTACTTAGCTAGTCAGTCCCCAGGCTGTAGCGCTGCATGGGATTCTTCCGTCCTAAGTGCAGGAATTTGCACTTGGCCTTGTTGAACCTCATGAGATTTCTTTTGGCTCAATCCTCCAATTTGCCTGTGGCACAGAATCCTAGCCCTAATCTCCAGTATATCTGCTATACCCCACAGCTTGGCGTTATCTGCAAACTTGCTTAGGGTGCAAACCATTGCATCTTTCAGATTGTTAATGAAGATATTGAACAAAACTGGCCCCAGAACCAATCCTTGGGGCACTCCATTTGATACTGGCTGCCAGTTAGACATCGAACCATTGATTACTACCTATTGAGCCTGACAATCTAGCCAACTTTCTATCCACTTTACAGCCCACTCATCCAACCCATGCTTCCTCAGGTTGCTTGCAAGAATGCTGTGGGGGGATGATATGACAAGCCTTGCTAGTCAAGGTATATTACATCTACTGCTTTCTTCACATCCACAGAACCAGCTATCTCATCTTAGAAGGCAATCAGGTTGATCAGGCATGACTTGCCCCTGGTGAATCCATGCTGACTGTTCCTAATCACATTATTCTCCAAGTGCCTAGAAATGGATTCCTCAAGGAACCACTCCATAATTTTTCCAGGGACTAAGGTGAGGCTGACTGGCCTGTAGTTCCCTGGATCCTCTTTTTTCCCTTTCTTAAATATGGGCACAATGTTTGACCTTTTCCAACCATCCAGGACCACTCCTGATTGCCATGAGTTTTCAAAGACGATGGCCAGTGCCTCTGCAATCACAGTAGCCAACTCCCTCAGCACCCTTGAATGCATTGCATCCAGCCCCATGGACTTGTACACATCCAGCTTTTCTAAGTAGTTCCTAACCTGTACTTTCAGCATTGAGGGATGCTCACCTTCTCTCTAAATTGTGCTGCCTGGTGCAGTAGTCTGGGAGCTGAACTTGTCTGTGAAGACCAAGGTAAAAGGCATTGATTTTTTTCCACCCTTTTCTTCCTCATCTGTCACTAAATTGCCTCCCTATTCAATAAAGGGTCCACACTTTCCCTGACCTTCCTCTTGTTGCTAACATACTTGTAGAAACTCTTCTTGTTACCTTGTACTTCATGTCTCTTGCTAGCTGCAACTCCAGTTGTGCTTTGGCCTTCCTGACTTCATTCCTGCATGCCCAAGCACTATTCTTATACTCCTCCCAAGTTGTTTGTCCAAGCTTTCCCTGCCTTTTGCTCTCCCCACTCCCTGTAACCTCCCACCCCCTGCAGCTTACTTTCTGCTACTCTGCTCTGCTCTGCTCCATCTTTGGGGAAGGCAGTGGTTGACAGCCCTGGCCTGATCCCAGCCCTATTCTTCCAGGCAGGTAGAGTGGCAGCAACTCTGGGCCAGACCAGGTCAGGTCTGGAAGGGCTGGAGCTGGAGCAGAAGGGCTGGAGCAGGTTGAGGAGTCGGGCACTGGTTGCAGGGCAAGTTGTGTGATGTCTCCTGAATTTGCACAAGTAGGTCTCCCCCGTGCTTCCCTGGCAGCAAGCCTCCTCCCCTGCCGCAGGAGCTACCTTAGCCCAGTGCAGGCAGCAGCTTAGCTCTGGCTTCTGCTCTGAGTCTGGGGCCAAAGCCAGAGCTGAGTTGACACCTGCCCCTGGCAGGTACCCAGATCTCAGATGAGACTCCCCCTCATACTGTCTGAGGTGAAAAATCTTACATTGGATTTGAGTAAATAGGGTATTTTTGGTCCTAAAAGAGCCAAGTTTTGATCTTCAGCTCTTCAGCCCTTACTTCTATGAGTAATTTTTAGTCATGTAAGAGTGTCCTGCTGTCTTCCAAGACATCTCAAGGACGGTAAGGACAGCAAGATCAGGGGTCAGTATGATAAGTACAGGAAAGCAGTCTCCATTTTCTTTATTTAGGTTTATGTCATAAAGTAACCTATGTAACAGTGTAGGCATATCCTTTGATTCTATGGCTGACTTCAAGGCCATACCTGCCAACTGTCTTCAGTGAAAATCCCTAAGCATGACACATGCCTAGAGTCTGGCCTGGCCTCAGAGACTCTATTAAACTTAAGAATCTGAGGTTTAGCTCTTCCTATCGTACTCTACCAGTAAAGACTCTACCAGTGTCTTTAGTGCAGGGGTGGATCTGGATGGCACCTGGACTCCATTACCCAGCAGCCCCTGCCTGATTTGCTGTGTTTGGTTTCCATGGAGACTCCAGCAGCGGTGCGGCAGGACAGTGCAGGGCTAGGGTTTACATGGAGACTGGCCCCAGCAGCATTGCAAGGGTGCATGGCTCGGTAGGGTCTGGGGCTGGAGCTGGGATTTTGCAGCAGTGCCAGTGTGGTCCAGAGCTGAGGCAGAGTCCGCTGCCTGCATGCCCCTGCCCAGGGTGTGCAGAGCTCACCAAGGTGCTGAAGGTTGAGAACCGAGAAAGTCTGCCTGCAGGTCCCACACTTTCCTGTTCCTGTCCTGACTTTTAGTCTTCTGCGCCCCACTTCCTGTCTCAACTAACCATAATTAAAGCCATACAAAGCAGGAGAGACAAGTAGTGGGTAGAGTAATTCCTAGAAGGGCTCCCCTAGAATGGATTCATGCTGTGCTGAATGCATGTGGATGGGGAGACAGGGAGTCTAGTTGAAGGTGAGCCTTGTGGTTTACACTAAATAGAGGTGTGGAGGTAACCTTACTTTAACAAACCAAAGATAAGTCAGACTAAACAAAGTTCAAACCAGATCTTTGTATTGTTAAACTTGGAATACATTTGTGCAATCAGTTACAGAAACAGAGGATGTGTACAATACAAAACTCTGAAATAATCAGGAATAATGGAGATATTGCTGCTGCTGATTCTTGCAGACACTTTTCAGCAGCAACTTATTTAGTGTCGGACTAGGTAGAGTTCTTCTTATAAGGAGCTGTTTTCTACTACCCTTATGGATACTTTGAGAATAATAATACCTCACTCTCAGGGCTTTTGTGGCTTTGACGGTAAGACCGAATATGAATGGGAGGTAGAAACTTAATGGTTGGTCCATCGCATTTGCACCTATTCACTGTTTATGAAATTCCTTCTTACAGTGGGAAAGATGAGATTGGGAGAGAAGGAGGAAATGGAGCCTTATTGCCAATACAAGAAGGCTGAGTTCAGTTTTTTCATAGGGTTAATGCTTTCCAAATTAGGAGGGGCACAAGATTGAAAGTGAAAGGTATGCTCCTTGGCTGTGCAGGGGAATGTTAGAGTGGTCCTAATGCAGAATCTCATTAAAGCAACTGTCAGGATTCCTCTATTTTACCATCACCTCCTCTATTCTGTAAGAGGCAACTGTCGTTTTGAGTGAGTGTACTGGCAAAGAGGCATTTACAAATAAATGAAAAATGTCAAAATTGATTTTGTTCCTTCTAGAGGACTGTGTGTCAGCTTTGTCACAAACTGTCTTTGTTACTCTCTGTTTCAGATTTCTCAGCTGGACATTGGAAATAGCTTTTGATGGTCCTGGGCTTCTTTCATTTGACCCGGGGTAAGCCCTCAGACTGTGACCTTTTTGTTAATATTTGTGCACCAGTTTGAGCTGTCGGTGGAAAGTCTTTTCCTCCGCTGTGAGTGCACAAAAGACAGTATTACCAACATGTGCATACTGAAGCTGTTGGAAACAAGCCTCATTTGTAAGTGCTACCAGCACAATCGTTCGGTTTCATAGCTTCTTGCCTGAGGAAATATTTATGCAAGATGATAATTATATAGAAGATTTTGCAAACAGTAGTACTATCCATATAAAATCACATGTCTATACTTTTTCTTTGTTACCATGGAACTTGGCTATATTCCTAAACTGTTGATACTCTTTTCCTCAAATTTAAATATTCCAGAATGGGCAGGATACTCAGTGTGTGTGTTTAAACCTGTTCTCTAGCTAAAAAAGTAATATGATGGGGCATTAGCATAAAGCCTTTTACAAAAAAAGCATAAAATAATGCATTTTGAAAGAATATTTGAAACCATGTCAAGGAACATCTAAGCTGTCATTATTTTTGATACAGGAAGGTGTCTAGATAGTTATTTTTCTTTTTGTGCTTTACATTTTGCAAAAATAGTAAAAAAAAAAAAGTTTTGCTTGAGCTGTTATATAAGAAGAATTTAATTTACATTTGTGGAATTTCAGATAGTTGTTTCTATAGCAGCTGATAGCCATATAATGGTACAAATAAATTTGATCTTAAGAGGATGAAGTGTATTTTCTTGTTTTTATGTTATTCTGGGAGTCAAGGTTAAGTTAAATGGTGTACATTAGCTACAGGTTGTAACCTTCAAACAAAAGTATCAAGAAAAGAGCTTATTTATTCTTGTGTTTCAAATAGTAAATTCATACTCAACATTAAGAGTTGTTACAAGTGATTTCTATGGATAAATCTAAAGTATCTATCTGGAAAGGTTACTTTAACATAGTATGTGCATGTGTGAGAGATCTATCATTGACATGAACACACACGTGTATGTGTGTGGAAAAGAGATGTCCATCTGTCCATCTCCCTTTTTCTAGCAGACTTTAAAAAATATGGCATTAAGAGGAAAATAAATATAGTAAAAATAAAAAAATACCTGCGTTACTAATAGCATGGTAGATTGTTTAAAAAGAAGGGCAGAAAATTAGATTATATACATCAAAAACAACAATGGGCAATTAGATTGCCCAAGGAAACAGGATCTTCTCTCCTGAAGTGGTAAACACTGTACCTGCTAATGAGTTTTTGTTTCCTGTATCTCATAACTTTGGACAATGAACACAGCCTGTTTAGTTTCACTTTTGTTTATACAAGCAGAGAAATTACATATTAATATGTAGATAACTTGATATTTTTGTGCATTTACCCTGGAGAAAAACTCAGCCTTTCCTACACAATTAGAATGAGATACTGATGTGTCACTTTTGCAGCTCAATCTGCTTTCCAGTTCTCTCACTGTGATGTTGGATGACCACCCATCCCTAATTGGGTGGGACAGTCCTAGAATGGGAGTATCAGGTCCCAGTCCCGGGCTGCATGACTACAGGACAGCATTTGTCCTGGGTTTGCAGTATTCTGCAGGGATTCGGCTTTGGGAAGCAGCAGGCTTTCCCTTGTAGGCTGCTTGGGGCTGCTGGGAGCGGGACACACTGGGTGTCAAGTGTACGTGCATGCCCGCACACATGCACGGGCTAGGAATATAGCCTGGCAGTGCGGAGAGAAAGTCCCTACAGGTAAGTCTATGGATCAAGGGGGATAGGAGAGTGCAAATTGAGGCCTCCACAGTGAGGGAGGGAGTACAGCAGGGGCTGGGTCAGTGCCCAGCCAGGGTGGCACATAGGGTTCAGGACCAGGGTGGGGAGTGGAATGGAGCCACAGGCAGTATGTCCATGGAACGGGGGCTGGTAGCTCCCTGCCACTGGCTGGACTCGTGGGGGTGGGGCATAGGTAGGTATGTGCCCCATAGATTTGTGCATGGTGGAGGGGCGGATGTGGGCTGCCCTCTGAAGCCTTGGGACTCCTTGCCATGCTTTCCTCCTCCAGGAGCACAGCACTGGCCATGCCACCACAGTGAGGCACCCTCTGCCCACTCACAGTTTCTGGACCCCACACTGCAGGGCAGGGGGCATGTGGCCAGTGTGGGGTTCTTGGGGAAAGGAAGTAGGGTAGGAAGCCCTGAGCCCTCAGTGGGCAGCCCACATCCACTCCGACTTGGCTCTGCTCTGCTCTGGCTGTGCCATCGTGCCACAGTCACCCTACTGTGGTGGTATATTTGAATTCTCACAAAGGGCGTGTTCATTGTCAAAAGGGAGTTTTGGATTGATTTGAATTAAGTACCTAAAAATCCTAGAAAAAAGATTTGCTGTTAGGATGTTTTTGACACCTGTGTGGAGTTTTTGATTTTATTGCAAAGTTTACATTATTCTTATAAATATTTCTTGAAACTGTTCTTTTAGACAGACATGCTGGATTGAGTGTTCCATGCAAGTCTTTGGACTGACTTTTCCCTTTCTCAACAGAGGAATCGGATAATCTGAGCTAGTGGATTAACTGACATAATTTTTTCCCTTTTAAATTGTAAGAAAATCTGAGGTATAAGGCATGAGTAAGGTCAGAGAAGATGTCTTACAATGCAAAGCTTGATGAAATATTAATGTAATTCACCACAGTAAAGGTTGATAAACTGATATGATGATCAGTGTGTAAAGAAGTAGAAAGAAAAAAAATAAAAAAAATGAAAATACTATAATGTAGTAGGGACCAACCTTTTTGGCAGGAATCTACGTATTTGCTCTATACCCTCTCCTATCTCTGCCCCTTACCCAATTTGGTCCTCTCAGATTTTTGCTCTTCGCCCTGTGTTTCCTGACCAAGCTGCTGTTCTGTTTTTTTTTTTCGTTTTTTTGGTTTTTTTGGTACTTCCTACCCTGTGCTCTTCTTTCTGCTCACTGCCTTATCTGCCACTGGCGTATCCCCTCCCCAGTCTGCCACGTGCCACACACAGAGGCTGCCCATGTCACTTTGTGGCACCCATGCCACAGGTTGGCCACCCCTACTACAATGTACAATGTAGTCCACTGCAAAACTGAGAAAACATTGACTTTTAACATTTCAGTAAAAGGACTTGATGCACATAGAAATGGAACTATGCATAAAATATGAACAAATATTGCTCCAAGAAATCTAGGCAATTCTTCTATAGTGTCTTGAGTAGTACCATGACATTGCAAAATATGATTTGGCACATTTGCAGCAGCTCAAAGTTTGATCTGTGAATTTCCTAACAAAATAATATTTAGCTTCACAATGTTATCTTGATTTACACTGAAATTGAATTGTCCCAGCTAGTCAGAATGAAGGGGGAAAGCTATGTGTATTCTGATTTCATATTTCCATGTATGAAGGAGGGCTGGAGAGTGCAGCGTCTGGCCTATGGCCTAATGATAAGAGAGCTGTGCTGGGAAGCAGGGAATACAGGTTCAAACAGGGTATTTTTTCTCTGGGACCTAGAGCCTGGCTCATCTCCTGCTTGGGTTGGTACCCTAGCCACTAAACTGTTGAATTAAAAGGCTGCAGGGCTTGCCCCTTCTGTTTTACTTCTGGTAAGGACACCTACAGTGAGCTCATGTTTTGCATTAAGTAAAAGTATAATCCAAGCTGGCCATAAAACTCTGCAGTTCTGTGACCACGTAAGTGCCACTTGGCCATGTGACGGGGGGAAATAAGATTTAGTCCCAACAGTGCTGTGACTCCAGGAAACATGCCTGCCATGATTCTTTAGTTTGACATCTTTCATTAGAATCTCCATGTTGTTTGCCATCATGGAAATATATATTCTCAGCTGGTCTGTGAACAAAGGAAAAAAATCCAACGTGCAATAAAAATAGGTCTGTCCAGGCTATGAAAGGGGAATTCTTTAAGTAACAGAGTTAAACTCTATGATTTATCTTGTTTGCTTTTATTCCCCCTTCCAGTTCTAAGAGTCAGCAGGGTATTTTTTTCTGTTAGGATTCTAAGAACGGATGTCATTTCTCTTCTCATGAGGGTCCCAACCTATTTATTTCAATTCACTGAGGTGCAATATAAGCAGAAAAAAAATACAGCTGTTTTTGGGAGAAGCAGTTGCTTCAGTAGGAAAGGGAAGATGGGGAAAAGGGGTCACAAGAGTTAAATTTTATTTTCAATGCTATTGATGGCTCCCTTTGTGAGTTTTCCTCCTAATTCTTTCAGTACTTTATTGATATTTTTATATTAATGAGAACTTCAAAATTCTCTCTGGTTCAAGTGTGGACAGAGTCTGACCTCATTAATCATAGTGAATATACCATATTCCCATGAACACCCTTTGACTTCCACAGAGTTACTTATTGAACATGGCATTGTTCAACTTGATTAAAGTGATCAGAATCTGGCCTTTATTTTAACCATGTTCTAGCCTAAGGGGATTTCTTGGCTTTCATATTATTTTAAATAACTCAGTATTCTTATGTCACATTTTTAGCCTGGAATGTATAAATTTAAGTGAGGTAGTGAGCTATGTTAGTCTGAAGACAGGTGGAAGGCAGGGTAAATTAAAGTGACCATTCAATCCCAGATTTTCAAGGACAGTTCTAAGTTTTGGAACTAGATCCCCAGAGAGTCCCTGAAATGCTGATTTTGCCCCAAATGTGGAGGGTTTCTTCCTCAGTTAGTCCCCAATTGGGAAGATTTTTTCCTACATTTACATACCACTGTCCCTGCTATGTCTTCTGAGATCCAGAGTTCATCAGCTCATCCACAGCACCTCCCTAAGGAAGCTATGTTAACTGGTAACAGAAGTGGTCTATAGGCTACTACTAATTATGGAGGTCTGGCAGTAATACTCAACTGGGGTGCCGGAGTATCCTGGCATACCACAAGATCGTTTGAAGGGTGGCTGCAGAAAGCATAAGGATGAGCAAGGTGTGAGGAGACGAGCAGAAAAAGTCAGGCTCAGGCTTCAAATGTGAGGAGACGAGCAGATAAGGGCAGGCTCACC